AAAATGCAGATGTCTGAAATAGGAGCAAAGTTTTTATCTCAGCTTGAGATCAGAATACATTTTTATAACACTGACATCACTGCACTGAGTTCCTGTTTTCATGTTTCTTGTCAAGCGGAAAACTTTTTTTTTTTTGGTGCCTCTGTCACTGAGAACATTTTGGTGACAGATTCAGAGCACACTTTGTTTCTATTTCAATATTCTAATAATCAGGGACTATTCTTTCATACTTAAACAATTAGATCAATAAAGCAAAGCAGGTCTAGGAGATGAACAGAGGAACTGATAGAAAATGACCACCTACCACAGAAATGAACAAAGAGGGACCTAACTGGGAAACCAAAGGGTTAAACTGGACCAAAAGCTACACAATAAGGTGAAAAAATAAATTATTTCACAAAGACAAGAACAGAGTGGAACCCTAACCTAAGAACTAAGAACCTCATCAGACTGATGGTGGTCAGAGGGCCTGGTGGTGCCAGTGTACAGCAGCCTTGCTTCTGTCAGTGAGCCCCAGGGCAGCTGTGGCTACAATGTAGTTTGTCACCATCAGTGTGAGTTTGAATGACTGAATGAAGGTTAAAGTGCTTTGGTCAAGTCCTCTGACTTGAAAAAGCTCCAGATAAGTACAGGACATTTACCATTTACCATCAAATGGAAAGAACCATGAAAGATATGATCAGAGTGACGGAAACTGGAAAACAAAACAAACTGACCCAAAGTGGACTACAAAAAAGTAAGACACAGACCATAACAACCTCCAAGGTCTTTGAACAGCAATGTTTGCTCCTCTAAGCTGATTTATTAACATTTAAATCAGCTGAGAATGAGTTAACCACCATGCAAATAGTTGCAGAAAACATCAAGTTCTGTGTCTTGTTAAAAATAAGTCACATTCTTTCTCTGCCCAGCAGTTAAAGAAGCTACTTCACTGCATCATATCTGACATGCTTTAGTGTTTGTATTTAGAACAAAACATTAAGGTGAAAATTCACCTAGATTAAATGCCATATAGCAGGATATTTACTTTACATTGTTAAAATGCTGTTTGGTTTGTAGTGCGTGAGAAGCCTCTGCAGAACTAGTTTAAAATTCCCCTTTGCATCTAAAAGGAGCTGATGGGTGAGAATGATCTCATCTGTCAGAGATAGAAAAAGCCATAGCTGTGAGGAAATGATCATGTTAATAT